TCAGCTCACTGAGTTATTGTGCACTGAATGTAAAGATATTTAGCTTTGGCTACATTTTTAAGGGCCAGTGAAACAGTATGGATAATTTTTGTCAACATTACAGAGATCGATCATGCACAACACAATGAACATGAAGGCATTAGGTGGTTGTAGGTATTCAGAAACCCATTATAGGACGATGGCGTGAAGTAGAACACTCTCAATGTCATATCGCCCTGCGTGTTCATGTTTTTTATAACTCAACTTTGTCCACTCTTCCAACTGTACTGTTCTGTACTCACCCCAGAGCAGAGTGAAGTTCAGACATGCAAACTATTCTCTGGTTGGTTAACTAAAATATGCAAACATTTTTAAATGCCTGAAGGAGGCATTAGTGTGTGTGTGTGTGTGTGTGTGTGTGTGTGTGTGTGTGTGTGTGTGTGTGTGTGTGTGTGTGTGTGTGTGTGTGTGTGTGTGTGTGTGAGCCAGCAGTGAGCAGGTGCTTAGGGGGTTCATGACGTCATTTCAGGCAGTGCAGAATCTCGTCATACAGGAAACATGTAGTTCTGTCTGAACAGCCTAAATGTTACTAAGGAGATGCCGCTCACTGTCTATGTGTGAGTGTGTGTGTGTGTGTGTGTGTGTGTGTGTGTGTGTGTGTGTGTGTGTGTGTGTGTGTGTGTCACTAAAATCCAGGTGGTGTCCTGTCTAGATGAGTCATGTGGTATGTTTCCCACAACCATTGTGAAGAAAAAAACACACACACACACAGGACCCCTTACAGTTGAGGTCTGCATGTCAGTCACCAGTGCAGAGTATTCCTCATCCTCCTCAGTGTGCCCTGATCTCCATCATAAATCTTCAACATTTTTATTGACTGCTCAACTTTCATTTGCAAAATATCTTCATGTTTAGTCTGTGCCTGTCCGCAGCATTTCTGTGGCTGAGCGGATTGAAGAGAAAGCATATTTGGAACATTGGGAGAGGATATTGAAAGCACTAAATTACACTCTTGAATTACTCACTGAAAGGCTGGGTGGAACATGGCAGCATTCATATTGAATATGTGGGGGAGCCTTATAGCTTCAAGTCTCAGGGATCAAAAAAGAGTGTTGTTCAAATCTAAGATAGAAGGAATGCCTTTAGTGACAACAGATTCAACTAATTCATAAATTGAAAAATAATCTATGAAAAGAAACCCTGAGGCGCAGAGGGCCTAGCGATTTAAGCCCCTCATGTACAGAGGCTGTATACCAGTCTCTGCATGTCCTTCTCTCCTCCCCACCAAAGGGGTGGCCAGGCCAACAAATGACACTCCAAGAACCAATGTAGAGATTGGTCCCAAGTGCTGTTACAGATTGTCAGATTGTGTATTATAAGCTCTTGATCACACCTTTTTGGCAACAATGTTGGTCACATTATTTCTTTTTAATTTAAAACGTCAAACAGGATTCACCTGTATTCACTCCTCTGATTGTTGTGGTTGTGAGACACCAACCCAACCTTGTCTCTGCACTCGTGAATAAATATAACACTAGTGATGTGTCGTCACATCAGAGCACATCTTCATTTACTCAAAAGAAACAGTGCAGTCTCAGATTAAGTTACTTTCATTACTTTTAAACTTCATAGCTGTGTTCACACGTGGAGGAACAAAGAGCAAAGGTAAGAAAAGTTTGTTTTGAGAATGTTTATTGTGTGATGTAATGACATGCCTGGTCAACTAGAGTGAAAAGTAAGATTGCTAAAGGTGCCAGGCTAGACTAGCATGCCGGTAGTACTACTTCATACATCTATACACAAATATCTTCTTGCTTGTTGCTTAAGGTTAATAAAAGGCTACAAGCTTATACAAAAATAAGTGACTTATCATTGTGTCATTGTGATATTCTGGTGTAAAATTAGGTTAGGGTCAAACACACCCTAACACCAAGTTAGTCACCCCCTCAAGAGATCAATGTTGCTGACCGCTTACTTTACTAGTTATACCAACTCGCTATCATGCGGTCATAACTAAAGTTGATATAACCAGAGAAGCAAGCAGTCGGCAACATTCATCTCTCGACGGGGTGTCTAACTTGGTGTTATGGAGTGTTTGACCCTAACTTAATTTTATGCCGGAATATCCCTTTAATGTCACATGTCCAGTTGCTTATTTTTACTTTTTACTCAAAATGAACATTATGGATTATGTTTAAATTTTCACTGACACAGCCTTTATTTATTTTTTTTATCTTTTGTTCGTATTTTGCTTTACTGTAAATGGACTCTGTGCCTCTGCCTGAGCCATATGTGAGCTTAGGGGGTTACAAAAGCTGATTAACACTGATTATAATCTTCTTTAGTTTCCCAGTAAGACCTAGTAAGTAGTATTCTCATCATACTCAATATTAAACAGTAATGAAATCCTTACTCACTAGACAGAGCAATTACTCAAATACTTCTCAGCTGAGCCAACAAAAATGCCCCGCCTTTTTCGTCTGGTGTTACCAGACCAATGCAATGCACCTTGATGAATGGATATGGAATGGTTGCACATGTAAATGCCTCTGAAAGCAATTATGCCACTCTACAACAAATTACGTAAAACACAGCATGTGACATAGCACAGAGCAATTAAAATGTCAGCTAAAAGTAGCATGCAGAAGAAAGGATAAACCTCTCTTACTGGTTAATGCTGCATGCAGTGGTTTGGTCTCGTTTTCATGGAAAATACATTATTTGTTCATAAACTGATCAAAGCCACCATAGCAGATTTAACTAATCTTCCAGCCGTAAGATCTGCCATCTTGTTTGTTTATGAATATGTTGAAGCAGCAGTCTTAAGTCATCATCTTAAATTAAGAACTGTGAAGGACTGTTGGAACATCTACTGCTAATGGGGATTTGTTCAGAATGACAACAGAACCCAGCAGCAGACCCAGCCAGCGAATATGAGTCTGAGCTGGCTGATGGGTCTGGTCACGCCAGGCAACCACTTTTTCCAACTGGAGATATTTGGGGGATCAGAAGCTCCCGAGGCTGCTCCCACATCTGTACCGATTAACTGTCAGTATTTCCTGACTCTTAAGACCAGCTGAAGACAGAAACTAACATATTTGCCACAGTGGCAAGAGGCGGGGATGAGTTGTTCCTCTTTGCAGCTCAACCTCAGGGCCGCCAAAGTGTAGCTGCTCACACAAAATGTTTGTGTGATGTTCTTCTCTTTGCCTTTTTTTCCACTTGGCTGTCTCTACTGTTCAGAGAGAAGAAGGAGGGACAGTTTGGTTGTGGATCAGTTTTGCAACTCCTCCAAATAAACACCACAGGCAGCTGTTGAACAAATCAAAGACTGAAAAAAACACAAGAATGTCTGTTCAGCAGGGTTTATATTTCTATGCATAACATGTTTATTCTCCATGAAACTCACCAGAGTTTGTTTTTTTACCAATTATCTTATCAAGGCTTTCTTTTTGATGCCCTCGAGCAAAAAGAGTAGATGCCTTGAGTCAAAGTCTGGTTTGGTTGGGTTTCTGCATTCCACCGCTCATAACAGTTTTTGTGAATAATGCTAGGTTATGAAATACGTGATGTAGATCTGCAGCAACTGTACAGCTTAACAGAATGCAAACAAAGTGCATATTGTTGTAGGTGTTAAATGACAAAGTAATGTGACCTTATAAAACTGCACATCTCTGCTGCTGCAGCTGGCTGTGGAAAATTTTGAAAAAGTAAAAACTGTGTTACCATGAGTGAGGAGAGCAGCATATTGGCAAACATGGGTTAACTGGTAAGGGGGAATAGGAGCTGAAACAAAGTATTTTTTGCATGTCTACATGAATGCTGCTTGTGAGTGTCATTTATTTGTAACTTTGTGACACTAGACGACTCCAGCTGCCAAGACTGAAGCCAACACACAAGTGGTTCACAAATGAAAAGTTCAGGAGCCAGCGTCAGCCTGTCTGTAGATTCAAAATTAGCCTGTAACAAAAATGATTTAAAGAACACTATTAATGACACTAACGGCAGTAAACCTGAAAAACTTGTTTTACATTGAGGCAGATGCTATTAGCTTTATGTTTACACAAATCTAGCTACTGTGACCCACTAACTCCCTGGCTTATTCCAATTTACTGGAAAAAGTTAAAGTTAGCTTGCCAGTGATATGATGAAAGAGTAAATGAATAGATTAACAAATTAGAGAAGAAACTTGATCAGAAGGTTTTATAATGGTGTAAAGCAGGGATATGTGAAATTATCTAAAGATATAAAAGCAAAGAAACTGGAATATTTAGTAATATCTGGTTGTCAGATTTTAGATTGTAATACTCTCCTGCTCACTCCTGTCAATCTATGAAGCAGTATGGTGACATTTGAGGACTAAGAGTTCCTTTGATGCAATTAGTATGATCCTTCATCTTTTTAGTTTTAACCATCATATATGTCACGAAGATTACTTGGCGCACAACAAAAATCACCCTCTTCCTCTTTCTTGACTTGTGCACTTTGTGCAGCCACTAACTAAATACAAAGTCAGGTGCAAAGATAGAATCATGGTAGTGCAAGTCGGCAGCCTCTGTGGAGAATTTATCCTTTATAGATAACGGCTCTTTCTACATTAAGAAAAAACACATTTTAATTTGGGGTAATTATATACTAATCAAAATATACTTTGTACATTTATTAAATAAAAGAACAACAAATACTAAAAGTTTCAAAATGTTATCTTTAAAGTTTGTCAGGCTCATGCTGACTTGATGTAGACTTGCCTTAGATTGACATGATTCTACATGAAACGAGAATTATACCTACATTAACAAAAATGTCCACCGGCTGTAAAATCATAAGTCCTTAAAATCTTTATTTGTAAATGATGCTATGTATCCATACTTTACAGTGACTTTGATGCTATTGGTTGATTTAATTAATCTACTGCCCTAATATGACTTGTTATGTTCTGATGGTGCAATTTAAGTTGGAAATTCTCTGTTTAACACCAGGAAGTTTTCACATTATGGAACTGAGGCTCAGCAAAAGGCTTA